CCAGTTTAATGTGAATAATGCAAATAAGCAGCTTCGTTATTATGTTTTAGCTTTGCACTGGGATCTTGTCTCATCCTGTCAGGATTCTATTATGCATAACAATAGGCTAACTATACATTATTCCTTACTTATCTTAATATAATCTTTAAAGCATTGATATGAAGCTAGCGTTTTAAACATACACTTTATTGTTTATTTTACATGGTTATTCATTTTAAAAGCTCTTTCTGTAATGCATTTAAAAGGTTAAATAATATTTTAGAAAATAAACAAAGCTTGTTTCAAAAAAGTAAAAAAAAACAAAAACCTCAGTAGTTATTTATATTAGATTTTAATAGGAAAGAAAGCATAGCATAACAGTACACAACCAAGGTCCAAATAGGCATTTTTACATCGAAGTAAATAACTTGATCGAATCATTTATATTTTTACGATAATACGCCAGTTAAGTTATAATTACTTAAAAACATAAATAATTCCTTTTCTATACATTTAAGGGTGAACAAATTAAGAGACTGTGTGTCACCTTTTACAGTGGGATCAGATCGGGGTTCAGTAGTAATTGCCTGTAGGGCATGCCAGTCTTACAAAGGAAATAGCTGGGAAGTCAACTCTCCACCGAGTTAATGATGCTTGTCTGTTAAATGCCAGCAGAGAAGTCTGATAACCAGGCAACAAAAGACAGAGTCTGCTTAGTCCAGCATCAGAGTGGAATGACTCATTTAATGGGGATCATTGGGAGCCTTTTGTACGTGACGTCCTCCAAATGATCTGTGAATGATGACAGTCTCCCCTCTTTTTCCTCAGAAAATGCTAATAAACAAAGATGTATCACATCCTTTTCTCTGCTATAGAAGAACTGGGCCTCATTGCTGATAAATGATGATATTTATCCCCTTTCTGTTTCCTTTTTATCCCCTCTGCTCAGCCCTGTCTCTTGTTCAAACATAAGAGATGTTCCTGTGAGGACAAAGTGATCAACCTGCTTCCAAAAGCATTACCCATGACCCCTTTCTCCGCTGTAAGGTTAGGGAAACACTGAATGCTCAGCCATGATGGATCAGACAACATTCCAAATCCCCCCCAGAGCCATTTGTGCTTGGGCCTGTTACTTTGATAGAGAAGAAGTGTCTTGTGGGATATGTGGTTTCTGTGAAAGCTGGAGCTGTGAACTCTCCCATCCCTATTTCTCGTCCTCTGTAACAGCTCTGCCTTTGTTTCTTCTCTTTCATATGAAAAGAGCGATCACTGAAGGCCTCTCAGACCTCATCTGTCAGTGTGTTTGTTGATAGAGACTGTTGACAGTGTGTGTGTGTGTGTGTGTTTATGGGTGGTAGCTAGGGTTTGCATGCATGTGATCAGGTCACCACAAAGTCAGAGATATGCTGGACCAAAGCACATAATGCTGGAGGGGTCATAAAGTGGTTAAAGTTTGGTAAAGGTTAATAATATGTGCTTTGTTTGCAGCTCTGGGGCATGCATTAACAGCCTCCACCAAGCTAGGGTCAGGGCTAGGGTGAATGGTTGAACATGGTCTGAATTTTAAGGTGCATGGGCTTGTGTGTCTGGTTTTATAAAGAAAGAAATGACCAAGCGCACTTCTTAAATTCAGAATTTCTAAACAATAGTTGAACAACTTCAGTCAAGATACCAATCCAGGATAAGTACTTTAACAGATACAGTGGTCATGCCAAAGGCTTGTTGATGGGGTAATCTTCTGTCAAAGTCTAATAAAGGTTGGAATACACCCCTGACAGCGTTAGATTTTGGTGTTAATCCAACCTATTTAAGTCAGACCAACACTGTGTACAACCAAATCTCGCTGGTGGAGAAATATTGTTCTGATGTCTCATGAGATCTCATTTGTTGTAGAAAGAAAACAGAGGATAGTGAGTGAGTGACAGTGGGAGGTGCACAGACCGGTATGAGTGGAAAGTAGAGGAAACTCTCGTCATTCTGTTTTTGGGACTTGTACTAACAATCCCAGCCTGTCAGTGGTGAAGTAAAGCACTTGTAGATGACGCAGTTTGAGGATGCATAATTTCTCAATCAAACTATATTTTATCTTGCTCCGCTGTCCATCAATACTGGACCAGTTTCAGAAACTGTTGTTCCAATCAGTCAAGCACACACACAAACACATGGAAAATTAGGGCTCAGGTTGAAAAATACTGTATAAATTCCAAAGATGTAATTTGTAATGACAGTTAATCCATTAATTCTGTTTGAAGTTAACAAAAATTTACATTTACCTTATGTTCAAACTTGTGTAAAATTCAATGGTTAATCCTTCTCCTGCTGCAACAGAAAGGGTCTACATGATCCAAGTCCAATGACAGGCTTAATCTAAGCTCATAATATCCCTAAAGATCCATGTAAGTCTACCCTGCTCTTAGGCTCTTACTCGATCCCTCTTTCTTGGGTTAATAAACCTCAATGTCGATGCTCCTAGTGATGAGAATTTAAGCTCTTTTTGGGGATCTAGATCATTTGGCTCAGCAATTGGCTTGTAAGGCTCTCAAGCAGCTTTCCGTAGTAGGCCCTACTATTGACCTAGAACAGCTTGCTTTTAAACCCGAGTGGGTCCTGTCCAACAAATCACTACATGCTGATGATGATGTCAAAGAAAACTGAATTTAATGGAAATACTCGTTTTGATGGCCTTTCTTTAATGTACTGATGCAAAAATATTTGCACTGAGTGTTCACATTTTCAAAAGTTTCTGTGACAAAGGTTACCACGGATGTACTGGCTGAAAATCTCCAGTTGCCATGGTCACTTGTCAAACCTAAACACTGACTTGCTTGTTGCTCTCTGGCTGTGCCTGCAATGTCTTCAGCAGCTGAGAGGGTTTTTTTTTCAGCTCTGTTCTGTCAGTCAAGCAAGCAAGCACCAAATCACATAACTAGTTATAACCAGTCACCAGTCTAATGCTGTCATTAAAGTTAAATGACAACATGACTGATTTTTACATGTATGTTTCAGAATTTTCAGTATTGGGATTTATTTGCTGTCATTTTTTTCAGGAAGATGTTTTTGTCTTCTTCCTTTCCCTGAGTTTTGGCAGGAAACGAAAGGATTACAGTCAGATTGTGAACCTGTCACACCCCGACACACTAACCCAATCACACACACACGCACGCACGCACACACACATGCTGCCAGCCTGTTTCCCATTACCTTTCATTCAGCTGGTGGAGTACTCGGTTGTTCAAAGATGTTCATACAAGAGCCTCAAATCACAGAGGATTACCACTGACCTCCAGGATCAAATCAGCTGTGCAATTTGTTGTCCGGCCTGGTTATGTTCTCCGTCCCAGGTGATCAGAGTTGAAGGCTGCTGTGTGCTGAGCCAGGCAGTGTCAATTTCATGTGCTTGTTTCTTGATTCGATATGAAAGATAATTAGCAGAACTATCTTTTGATATTAGGCACTCCGCTGGCCATCGTGTTCAATGTTGGTTCACAGTGGAAATAGTTGGAAGAATGAAGCATTGATCAAGCATAGGGTAGATAGAAAAAGAGGTTTTGAAAAAGAGGTTTTCAGAAGCACAATCAATTGTCCCTCTGATTAGATGGTGCAAACTACTGTAATTCTGTTCTCCTGCACTGTTTAACTTGTTAGCATAAGTTATTAAGTGTGGAGTTTGCAGTGAGTAGGGCGCACAAGCAAATAACCATAACTGTGTCCTTGAACTATTTGTGAGGTCTATTTTTCTGAACCATTTGGGTGAACATTTACTCTGCTGCCTCATCTGTTGAGACATCTTGTCATCAGTCTGTGCTTTTATTGTTCTTGGTTGGACAGTGTACGCCTGAAACAGACTCTAATTAGCCCACTGGACTCTTTTTATTGCTCACAACTGGCTTGTAAGGTTTAATCTAGTTTTATTATGAACATTTCTCACACAGACCCGAGGCCTCTCTCTTGTTGTTAAAACCTCTGAATTCCCCTATTGACCTGGATCAGAGCTGCGTGTCAGAAAAAATACATATTCTGTACAAATGTCGGACACCTCCATCATGGCCTGTAGTCTCAGCTGAGTAAGCACACTACAGAAATCCTATAATAGTTTCTGAATGTGCCCAAAAGGCCCAAATGTACAGCTCTGAACCTCCGAACCTGTTGGTCCACATCCAAGAGCATGTCTCACGTTCCTCGTATATATCCACCAACAGGTCAGAGGTGAAAGCTGTACCATGGAATTAATCCATGCTACGTGGTTCCACTTTATTAAAGCTGACAGCTTAATAAAACTACAAGAGCTCCCTGGTGTTGGTGACGAGTATTGATCCAGCACAAATGAATACCTCTGAAAGCTCAGGTGTTAACATATCAGACAGGGATGTTAATGTGCATTACATGTTCCTGTCCTCCTCAGTGCTTCACTGAACAAACATTAGCTGGGTAGATTTCAGTTCTAAGGGGGAAAACGTGACGCAATAGTCCTTGTGAATTATTCATCGAGCTTGGAGTTGTTGCTACCATGCAATGTCGGGCTGTTTTAGCGTGAGGATCTGGTCTTGCTGTATTTTTCTGTTCGGAGCTGGATTATGTGAGTGAACCTGCGGCAGGAAGTCTGGTCCCCTGTGATTTCTTCTTTGCTTTGGAAACAGAGGTTGCAGGGTCTGCGGTACAGCTTATCCCACCTGTGTGAGGTGTGGTTCAGCCATTTTTTATTATCATCAAACAGAGTAAGTAACTCTGTTTGACAGCGCTGACAGGAAAGAAATACCTCAACACTTGGCATTCAAAACCGTATCAAGTATTCAATTTAAAATATAAGTAAACCAAATGACCTCCTGGAGAATAAAACAGGTTGCCCATGGTGCTGAACACACTGACAATCAACAAATGTCCTTTGCTGGCTATTGCACAGACCTGATTTTTTAGACAAATCAACCTGATCAATAGTAATCAATTTAACATGTTCAATACTCTCAAGTAATAAAATATGTAGGAAACCAAAATAATAAATACAAAATACTCAAACATGAAGGTAATTTAATTCATATGACTTTATTAAAAAATGTCTGTAGTATCATGGCTAAAAATACTGCCTTCTGGTTCACTAACAGTGACAATACAGAGAATAATACTTTAATACATCTCCGGTATATGAAGAATATGTGTCAGGAGCTGCCTCAAAAGAGATTTCACATTTTCTCGGGGTCCAAAGCAGAGTACAACACATGCACTCAACTTCAACTCAAATCACGCCTCTATGTGTATTTGGTCCAAAGATACAAAAAGACACTCAGCGTAGGGGTTCTTTCTGCTCTGTGATAAATGGGTCTGTATTTGGATCACACTGAGTTTTTTTTTTTCATGCAGAGACAGCAGTGAGAGTGGGATGAATATTTCCACTGGATCTGCAGCATTGACGGTTAAGATTGTTTTTATGAGCAATAACACAAACTGCCTTTAGGATGTTAGTTAACAAACTACCTGGATGGTGTGTTTTGAATTTAGCAATGAAAACAGGAAAACGTTAGTGGATTAGCATCAGTCTGTTAGGAAACTGTAGCGCTTAAACTTATTTAGTTCTGTGTTTGGACAAATGAGGGTAATACGATAAAATCAATGTCAATTTACTTCCATTATGTTTAAGGGGAATGGATTGCACCACAAGGATCATTGCACCATTACCTGCTAACTGATCTGGTTATCACCTGTAATCAGGCACTTGGTAAATAGACCACATAACACCAAATTCAACTACAACAATGACCACGAGCACCAAGACATCCAGTACGGTTTAAAGAAACAAACTTGTAATTTTGCAGCATGGCAGTGGTTGAGTGAAAGTGAACAGAAAGCCCAGGGGGGGCTGGGAGTGTCCTGATTGAAAGCACATGTTGGTGTCTTGGATCTCCCCTTAAAGGTTTCTTTCTGTTTTGGCTCAGTGCTCTCTTTGACACATCATACATCAACTTCAGGAAAAGTGTTCAGAAATCAAATCAGGGGGTTGTGGGAGACGACTTGTGGGCTGAACACAATGACAGCAGCTTTTGTTTTTTCGGTCACTGTGTGCTGGATTTCCAGACTGTATTCAGGTCACCTTTGTTACATGTCAGAATGGTTGTTAAGGGACAGCAGAGAGGGAAACGAAGCGGGGGGAGATATTCCTCTTGTTTGGCTGACGATTTCAATTTCACTTTATAATAAGGGTCTCAATGTTTTACTTTACGCCGTCACCTTGCGTGAGTGATGATTATTAAATACATAAATTACTGAATGATGAATCATTGATTCTTGCTGCTCACAATTAACTGACATTACAGCCACCTTGACTTTTTCAGTCCCTTCACGCCAGCTAAAACATCAGTTAAAGATATTTATTTCACAGCATTAGTCAGTACGGAGCAGCTAGCTTGACACCAAAGTTTATTTTTCGACCATTTGTGCTGCCTTTCTAAATGAATCAAAATGAGCCTCCTTCATATTTCCATTAATATTGAAAATTTTAAGTACATAATTAACAATGTTGCAAAACATTAATAGTGTTTTAAAAATAATGAAAGGCATGTAGAAATCTTAATCCCATCATTATTTTCTGAGTTTTATTTGCCACTTTGTGTTATACAATCCTTTTCCTGAATACTGCTATTATTGGTCCATAACTTCCTTATTGTAAAGCACATTAAGTTTTTCATAAAAAAGTTGCCATATAAATTAGTTAATCATGATTAATGTTAATGTCAAAATATGGTAACAATAACGATGCAATAAAAAATAACTACACTCCTTTTATTTATAATAAAACATAACAAATAGCCATTACTCTTCAACATTTAAAATATATAATTTGCTATTCCTTAGATGATGATACTTTCTAAGGAATTATATCATTTTCTGTATTTGTTAAACATGACCCTTGTAATACCTATGATAAAGTATAACATTTTTGCCCTTATTGTGAAGTGTTTCCTGTTTTTATCCACATAGTAAAAAGGTGTTGTATGTTTTTTTTTTTTTTTTTAAATCACATTTAACTTTAACAAACAGATTGTAAAATGTGGAAAAGCTGCAGAAATTATATTTAGTACTGGTCTTTGCATTCTATAGACTAGCTTTCACTTAGTAGTTTCTGCCTGCTGTACATTGCATTAAGAAGCATTTAGTAAGATTATACACAATATAAAAATAAAACAACACAATTTTAAAGACACATTAGATTATAAAGTGGCTCAAATATATATAAAAAAGAATGATCAAACACTTCTTTTAGCCACGGCTAATATTCCCTTTGTGAATTTCATCATTAAGCTGCTTTATGTGGCGGCTTTTTAGCTTCTCATTCCTACCCAGGACGGTGTTGGTCTGAAAATCCTGCAGTGTTTATAACAAATATTTCCCAAGTGACTTTTGAAGATTTCCTACATTTTTCTACCAGCAGATGAAAGTCAGTATCTCTGAAGTCTTAGCATGTTCAATGTTTTCCTGTATAAATATTTGGTCTCTGTCACCTGGTATGTTAAATCAGTAAAAAGCTGCATTAATAAGTGTTTTCTTCCACTTTCTTATACCCTTCTATCAGTGTGGTCTGAGCACAGATCACCTTTCCACTTCATTTTTCATATCAGACTCCAACAACAGCGCTTTAAATATTTTGTGATGTATAAAAACATAACTGTGTCTTATTCAAGATGTAGAGTCTGTAATATCTCACCTTAAATTGCATAAAAATAAACAGTGACATATAACAAAGTCAATGGCTCTGCCCTCTTATACTGAATATATAGCACCAGGAAATCAGTGCTTGTTTCTAAACAGTATGTGTGTCTGTTTATGTGTGTGTGTGTGTGTGTGTGTGTGTGTGTGTGTGTGTGTGTGTGTGTGTGTGTGTGTGTGTGTGTGTGTGTGTGTGTGTGTCCATGTGCGTGAGCTTCCCTGTGTTTTGTCCCTGTTTAAGCCTCGCATGCTCTCATTGATCCCTGCCTGAGACCCTGTAGCCAGTTTGGCCTTTTACTTCTCAGTCTAAGTGTAATGCCAAATACGCATCAGAAGAGTTTCTGATAAAAATGTGAAACAGCATCATTCAAAAATTTTCTATGTATTTGAAATTAACATAAAAAATTACTCTTTCAAAAAGCTGTGAAAGCACAAATAGATATATTCCCGTAACTGTATTTAACTGCAACTGATCATTTTTGGTTCGGGTGGTTTTGCTGTCTGTGAATGAAACACCTCTTCAGTTTGCAAAACCACATTTGGGTGATTTAAACATGACCAGGCAAAAAACTTCCTCCTCGGGGGCCTATATAGTTGTTTCAGCAGCTCATATTTACAGTTAATTTGACAGGAAGTGAAGGTAGCATTACCCACAAAGCCATGTATGAAGCCTGAAAATAATATTTACAGACACACAGTCAGAGCTACTCCATGTGAAACCCATATTTACGCACTCACACACACAGTCGTTCATGCCACTCACACACACATCTCTGACATTATTAAGTCCCGTCATTCATTGTAGAATAGTGGAGGTCCAGAGGTTTTCAGAGGCTTGCAGTGGATGGTGCAGTTTGGCGGTGAAGTGCTGTTTCTGCAGGAGGACTGAAGCAGTGGACGGTACATACAGCGTGTTCTCATACATTCGTAGCAGTGACAGGGAGGTATACAGGCTCCACTCGGGGTCTCCAGGTCTGGTGACATACACATCTTCTTGAGTTAGTTTTTCTTGCTGCGTCTTCTGGATTTCTTCACCCTGGAGAGAAATTTATGGGATTAGTCAGAGATAGTAATCTTTAAAATTTAGAGGGGCCAGATTTTCCAAAAACAATTCACAGAATGTTTTTTGTAATAAAATCAAGTGAATGATTCAGAAATAAAGATTTCCTTCAGTATAAGAGGACAGGTTCTTTTGGAGTGGGGTTGTATTAGATACTCTACTAAAGTTAATAAACCATCTGACATCTTCTATCAACTTTGCACACAGAGAATCTGCTCTCAAAGAGGGTCAGTTTTACCTTGTTAAGTTTTTCACAAATGTCAGAGTTTGAAATATACAAAATATTTGTGTGACAGCAATTATGACATGCAGTTAACATGAACACACAAGGAAAACTGGAAAACTGACACCTACTCCCTTCACGCTGTTTTCAGGCATCAGATATTATGATAGAACAGTTGTCAATCTTGTAACTAATCATCTTTTTTTTTTTTTTTACTTTTGTATAATATCATAAAAAGGCATACATATTAACAGCATTTTGTTTTACAATTGTTATAATAATAATAATAAAAAAAAAAAAAACAGTTTAAAGCTGTTTGTTTCTAGCTTGGTCTGGTATATTTATGTGCCATGAAAATTCATAAGCATGTGTTCAAAAAAGAAAGTCACTTATCAGAATAGAAATACACGATGATTTCTAAGAGGGTGGATGTGTTTATATGTACCAGTTTGTTTATAATTTGTCGGTGGTTTCCATAAATCAGTTGAAGCTATGATCATGTTGCTGGGTGCTGTTGAAAAGAGTCACTCTTATTACAGCCGCCATGTACATGAGAGGGACCTCAAGTGTTGGTGAACAGTTTTGAAAGGTGAACATGCAGCACATAAATGTAGTTTATGTGTAACTGTAAGTGAACATGAGAGCGAGAGAGGGCGAGGCTGACACAGAGCAGCCGATACTGAAGAAAAAGTTTGAGATGAGAAAAACTCAAGCTCCGTTTGTGTGACAGCAGAGAACACTCACACACACATAACTCACTCACAAGCTTATACAGAGTTTGTGTTCTTGTTGAACTATGTTGAAATAAACAGGTGGATTTTGTAATTTTCACCTCATTTATTCTTGACTCTTTTAATGAGCACCTATAAAATAAAACACTCTTATCACACTAAACTGTGTTCCCACGCATACCTCTGTTACTGCTAAAGCTCACATGCCCGGTAAAGAAACTTGAAACACTGCTGCATTTCAGCTGATTTTTTTTTGCATGTCTCCCCAAAGTTTATAGTAACGGATACTCAACTTTTTACGTATGGAAACTGCCGTTTGCTGCTGTGCTACATACAAGGTGATAAGTCTACTTTAACACAGGTCTTTTTACAATCACAATAAACAATACCTCATAAATCCCAGAAATCACGTTACTGTTTGTTTTCACATTGAGCTTTAAGTGTTTATGGTGTTTAAAGCAGCAGACGTGCAGCCTGCCGATAATCACCACCAGACATGTTGGGAACATATTTTTATGAGGAATGCACACATTTTAACAGCAGAGCTCAATAAAATCTAAATGAGCTGCTGCAACTTTTTACAACGAGGAGTTTTTTCACCCCCAATGCAGCTCAAAAACCTGGACTTGGATGTAAAACCACATCTTGATGGTGGAAAAAGTAAGAATAGAAATAGAAAAATCAGACTGACAGGGTGAAGATAATAAGAAATTACCTGAAGTCTCTGAGTTTGTGAGAAAGAAGAAAGCAGATGCACCAGTGACAGATTTATTACTCCTCTTAGTCACTGTTAATTATTTCACGGATAATAACTCAGCTTCTTACATCAACCCTGTCAGTGATCTCAGAGAGGAACTGTCGGCAAGTAACTAAGAAAACGACATTTTTTGATAGGGCGTGATTTCTTCTTTGTAAGCTTGAGTCCTGCCAAGAGGAGAGCTGTAATTCTTTTCTATCATCACAAATGTGTCTGCTGAGAAAGAGAGAGAGCGGATGAGGAGGTGTTTTTACTCACTTGTTGATGGCGTTCTTTAAGTACTGCTGAAGCCACTTGGTCTCTGGGTTAATGCAGACCTCCCTGTTGTTCTTCAGTTTGGCACTGAGAGAGGAAAGAAAAGATTAAAATGTCACAACTTGTCGGCTACATTTAGATATGCCTGCATACTTTTAAGTGTTCTTGTGCAATACTGCTACACAGAGGAGCATTTGTGGTCTTTTCTTATCTTTATTAGACTTATTTTTCCGGTCTTTAGGTCAATGTTGTTTGTCGAAGGAAGCATAACAAGGATAACAAGGAGAAGTAATTTTATTTCAATACTTTACTGCTTGTTATAACTCAGAGACTCCAGAGTTTTATACCTCTGGACTCATTTTGCAGCAAACATGGCACAAAAACAAGATGTATTTCATTTGCTGTGAGGTCAGCTGGAATTTTGAAAGAACTTGTGCAACTCTACGATTTAACTCCCATTTCATTCAAAGCTCCTGTGAGGATTTTTTGGACTTTCACAAAATAGACTTAAATTACCATTTTATAATATCTAAAGCAAAAAAGACCAGCAGTGACAGGCCTAAAAAACTGTGTGAGGGGGGTAGCTGTCAGCCAAGTGGCTTTAAAAAAAAGCATCCCTGTTTAACTATTTCTACATAAACATTCACATTAAATGAAACATTTGGCTTTTGAAACTCAGCAGAGCAAAACACCAAGTGAGCACGCAAAGGACAGGAAAAGCAAAGACTGCTGTGTCCACAGGGGGCACCAAAAGTGACTCAAATTAAATAGTTGAAGAAACTTAATACTTATAATTAATAAATAAAAATTAAGTATCTAAATTAAACAGAATTTCAAAAATAAATACAAAAAAAATTGAGTTTATAATGTTTTTCTTGGACAGCGAGACAACGATTTTCTTGATTTGGTTGATTGTCTTGATCTTTAGCCTGCATTTTTAACACGAGAAACAGTTGAATGATTATGATTGTCTATTGATTATTATTAAGATTTATTCTTAAATTTGAAAAAAAAAACAACAACATAAAAATCAATTTAAAAATTGTAAAACAAAAATAATCACAACACTTTTTTGAATCGATTTTTTTTCTTCCACCCCTAGATAATATAGTGTTATAGACTGAAAGTGTGAGTCTCTGAATCTAAAATACAAGTCTGTGTGTCCAAATTGGACAGAGTGAGGACTCAGTCATGCAGTTTGACCTCACAAAAGCGGGCATTTAGGGTTTATAGCATAGTATCTGCCCATTACCTTTCCAACCTCACAGGATGTGCCCCCACAGACCCAGCAAGCGGCTTTAAATCACAGCAGTCCACTATCACCCATCTTGTAAAAACTTGCAGCCTGATCAATCAGGTTTAGCTTAGTCCTTTTTTTTCATAGTTTGAGTTTTATAACACGCCACGTAATTCCAAAACAGTTCAAGCTCAGTGCTGAAAACCAAAAATATTGACATCATTTTGATTACAAAGTTCATGTTTTCAATGTGAGTGATTCTTTCCCAGGAGGAGTCAAATTCTTTGCAAATTAATCCATCAGATGTGAAAGTTAAAGGAAGAAATGGGGAGGAAAACTGACTAAAAGCCTTTGGTAGCCTTTAATTTGGATAATAGGGGGCAGAAATGTACAATCCAAGCAATTTGCAGTGATTAAACCTAAACACACTAACCACTGGTATGGTCTTTTAAACCTAAAAGTGCTTTAAGTAACATTTATTGTTCTGTAAAACTCTATAAAGTCTGCAGGAGTGTGTCTGTGCCTATTATAGGTGTTTGAACCAAAGATGAAGTGTTTTTTTTCCTGCCGTGTGACAAAACAACATATATATGTCTTTAATTTAGGCTTTGAGGATTGATATGTCTTAAATTATCCTAATTTTTCCCCAGCGTAAGCTCAACCTCGTTTCTGAAGACCTGAATATCTTACTACCTGTCCCAATTTAAGCAGAGGATTAGCTCCTCCAACAAGCTGTCACTTTAATGTGAAGAGTAAATAATCGCACAAATGCTACAGTCTTGAACATCAGCCTGCCTGCATTTATTTTAACTCAAATTATTCCTTCTTTGACATATCCAGTCATGCAGTTCAAACATCTGCCCTTGTTACGGTTCAGTCCAAATAAATCAAAGAGACTTGATGTTGGATTGAGCTCAATAAATCAGGAAGGGTTCACGAAGACGGAGCTCAGAAACACCTCTGCTAATCTCTAAAAATCTGCACACATCCTACAACACATCCAGTCCAGAGGATTATGGCAGGGATGAGGGACTGTCAGACCGCGGTCTGAAAAATCACAGCTCTGTTTATTCTCAGGGGCAACTCGCACAGAGTAAACGGTGAGCTCTAACCTTTAATCAGAGATGATGGAGAGTTTTCATAGGGGAGCAATTTCCCATACTCCAGGTTCAGTCTAAAAAGGATCATTGTTGAACTGTTCTTTACCATCAGAGGTGCTCAGGGTAATTAAAATTTCTTTTTGTAAATTTAACATCTCTTCAAAACCCAATTCACTTGAATCTATGATGGAAACTTCTGAGAAACTCTGTTTTCTTTAACTTTAGAGATGTTTTAGGAGGATTTTCTTTCTTTTTCATTTCTTCTCCAAGTTGTTTATTTGACCTTATGTGTAATCCTAGTTCGTATTTCATGTTTGATTTTTGCCACTGATTGTGATAAAATTTAATCAAAACTGAGTAGATCAAAAATTACGAGTATCCCCAAACGATGATGTAGTTTACTGGTCAGAGTAAATTCAATTTGCAGCAGCTGCAGTAGTCTGTGATGAGCAGCTCTGCAGTCTCTGAGTGTGTTTCTGCGAGTTTTATCTGGCCTGTTGATGGAGAGCTCAGCTAAATATTTAGGGGCGGATTTGTTCTCTTATCAGACACTGCTGCTGGGTCTCAGATCTGCTAAGTGGGGGGGCAGACAGCAGGGTCTCCCCCCTCCACAAACATGTTGATCTCACACCTCTGTGGCAAAAGGTCGTGTATGAGACTTAACAACCCCAGAGGTGTGTCTGGTCTTGCTGCCCCTCTTTCTCTGCCCTCCATCTCTCCATCACACAACGCTGCAAATTAAACACATTCCTCCTCTCTTCACCTCCTCTCCTCCCTCGTCACTGCTTTCTGATTCTCCTCCACCCGTGTTACCCCTTAAATACCCCACCTCCCCTTTTCTTCACCCCATTTACATGCATACACATGAGCAAATGGCCCCTGCACTTAAAAGAGGCGTTTGGGAGCATCAATCCTCAAATCCCTCAAACTAACATGTGAGTCAGAAGGCCAAGAGCTCAGTAACTGGATCTGTGTTTGCTTTTCCTCCGGGGATGTCCCCTTTCTGCATCTTCTTCTTCTTCCCCCTCCTTTTTATTTTATCGGGGGTGGTCGGCTCATGTTTTCATGTGTCTCCTTCATCCTGTTTATCTGTCTGCTTGTCTGGATGACCCACCGAGAGCCTCCAAATCCTAATTGACTTGGCTGGAATTTGGAGGCTAGAGTTCCTCAAGCAGCAGGTAGTAATTACTTCACAGCAAGTTAATACCAACAGCCTGTTAATGGGGGAGGGGGGAGAGAGGGGCAAGTGTTACTGACTTTCTTTCATCTGCCTCAATAGAGATATCGGAGCAGCTCGCCTGAATGACTCCTTGACTCTTCTGGCAGATTTCTGGAGCGAGGTTAGAGGGAGTTTGTGTCGGGTGTCCTCTCTGACCTTTTGCCATTCGCTCACCTCTTTTCCAACACCCAGCAGCGGCAACTTCTCACTACCTCACCCCCTCTCCCCCTCACCCCGCCCTTTCTCAGCTTGGCCGAATCCCCACAGCCATTGAGCCTTTTGCCTGCAAGGCTTTTGCCATCCCGTTTTCTATTGCCAACAAATGAATGAGGCTTTTTAGTTAATATGTTCCAGACCAGTGACATTCTGCTCAGTGTTGCCTGGCAGATTGAGGCGGGACATAAAAAAAAAAAAAAAAAAGTAAAAAAAGTATACGTGGTCAGGGGACACAGGGGGTCAGCAGAAACACAAAGGTAATCACTTTGACCCTTAATTATTGCTTCCTTTGCTAAACATAAACGGCCCCTCGAGCTCCGGCTGTCACTCTTTTCCTCTCTGTGAGTGACCGTGTTGTTTTAAACTCAGGCCACTCATTAGAGGAAGAATAGAAGGATATTAACACCACACTTAACATATCTTATCTTAATGTATCTGCTCGCTGCTTTATTATTTTATGTACCAACACCAGTGAAAGAGAAAGGACTACAAAGGAAAAGGTTAACTCATTGGATTAATGACTGACAGGGTTCATTGTGGTCCAAAGAATACATTATTTTTCAATTATGTTTTAATGTTACGAAAAATGGTCTGATATGCACCAAGGAAGTCTAACATTTTTGTGTCTTTTAATGAAGGAATTTATCTCAATTATGGCCAAATAATGATCTGTGTTTAGGAACAAGGCAGGCTGAGTGTTGGCTGGGTCATTAACAGGCACGTATATGTTCTTGCTTTGTGACACCTGCACACAAGGAATCAAAATCAAGTCACTTTTTGATCAATGCTGTGCTGAAATCCTCTATAGTTTTTATCCTCTTTATTATAACTATTTCAAAGTGATCATTACTTTTTTTTTAGTTAACTTTGAGCTTTTATACCACTTATAAGGGACAGCGCAGAGGAGAAGAGAGAGAGGGAATGATACGAGTCAAAAAGGCCGAGAGTTGTGCTCGAGACGTACTTTAACTGAACCGGAGTCCCAAGAATAACGTATTCGTCACTGTGATTAACTTGAATGCACTTCAGTTCACAGAGGACTGTTTTTTTTTCTTTACAACTCAAATCACATGTCTCCAGGTAAACTGTGAAGGAAATGAAAGTCTATCGTACTTACATGACTTGGAAGGGGCAGTTGGGCGTGTGGAGGAACTTGAGCTCTTTGATGGAGCGCTGAGGGACAGTGATGAGGGTGGAGCGACACCAGCAGCGCTCCACCAGACTGATGGGCTTCGCTGCAAACACACAACAAGGACATTTATTTATTCATATGCACTTGTGTTAATGATAGCTGATGATACAATAGGACGGCATTCAGGCCAACCTGAAAAAAGATCAAGCTTCTATGTTCGTTTTTCTATGATTTATGCGGAACATCCAGGGCGATGAGTAAAATGCTGTGGTAGAGACGTTGATATCAGTCAGTTACTACCAAAATTATGACCCAGTTGATGAGTTGTTTTAAGTCGTGAGTGAATAATGCATTTTTCCAGTGAGAAGGTTGTTTTTCTGGTTGACGGACAACACTTGAACGCAGCATTTACCTGCAGGTCTCATGTGGGAGAGGGAGCACCTGAGGACTAGTGGCTGAGGACTGAGCACCACGGCTCACACTACAGTGCTGACAAATATTTGATATGTTATCGGGCCTGATAAGTCATGATATTTGATTTTTAGGAATGACGTCATAATTTCCTGATATTGGGGCGATAATTATCATGCACCCCTAGTGTCTACTTCCAACCCAGCTGGAACCCAAACTATTTTATAAAGTTAGAAAAAGTTTAATTCTTGACTTTGATTCACCTGATTTGAAGCAGAAGCTTATGTTAAAAAGAGGAATACACTTTGTTCACTCATTCCCTTTAAAACACATACATTAACAAGTTTTACCCATATCATTGAATCGATCAGCATTAAACTTTAAACCTGGAGATTTTTAGAAAGAAACAAAAGATTTTAGGGATTTTTATAAATAGAAAGTACTCTTGCTGTTAGTGCTGATGATTTACAGACTTTATTTTTTGCTGTCAGATGAAGCAGAGGATAAAGAATGTTTTCTGGTGAACTCCTTGAATTTCTTTGCAAACATTTAATGTGTTTGATTATTCAGGAAACTCAAGGGGCTCATTATTGAGAAGTAACATCAATGGAAATTCAGCTCATTTTAAACATGGTAGCCCCCACTGCACTTCACTGAAGATGATCTGCATTGGTTCTCTCTCAGTGAACAAAATAAAAGCATGTTTAATCTACTGTAACAAGTCTTTACAAAGTATGGGAACCTATGAGTTTACCCGCTATTGCTGTGATCAACATGTTCATTAAAAAGAGATTAACTGACCGATGTCTCACACACAAACTCATAGAATTTCAGCTTTTCACTCCTGCAGCATTCACAGAGGCCACTCTAAAGGAGAAGGGTCCTCTACATTCAGTTTCCAATATTTGCCCCTTTTATGAAAGAGCACTCTGCAGCTCAGACGGCACCAGATCTCTCCGAGGAAATCACCTCGAGTACATTCTTAAAATGATTACAAATCACCACTGTGCCTCCATGGAGGTCTGCAGGGGCCCTCAGGACTCCAGATGCACACTAAAACCTCCAAGTACAAATACTTCAGAACCAATCAGAGATTTGTATTTATTTACCTCTTTGAAATTTAGTGAAAAAACGATGATGGTAGTTAAAATGTCATAGAAAAATGATGAAAAACACATCACAATAAAAGTTAAAATTAGAATCAAAGCTAACAGTTTCACTGCTCTCAGAACACACACGCAGACATTTATCAGAAATACTTCAGTCAGGCTGCAGTGTGTCACAGATGAGGAAATATCAGAGAGCAGATGCAGATTTGGCAGATATTTGGTGAATTGCAACAACTCATTTTCTGGATCAGCCGTTTCCTGCCCATATAAACAAAACTGAATCAAATAGATTGCATCTGGTCTCACTAACTCTGCTTTATTCTGCAGTGCAGCTCATTCCCGTTGATGAATATGCTGATAAAGCTGCACCAAATGTCCTGCCACAAATGGCTTGGTTCGCAGTAATATCAGCCTAATGATTCACACCCTTTTGGCCTCTTTTTGTCATGCAAACTAAAGGATCATTATGCAGCACGCAGCACCAGGGCCACAAGAGAGCATCCAGCGCTATCAGCAGCGCATTGTTTATCCCTAATTAGAAACTAATTAAAAGAAAGCAAAGGGAAGAGACAAATACACACATTAAGGGCCAGGTCTTTAATATGCAAGAAGGGGTCTTGCTGGGGCCGAAACAACAAGCTTAGCATAACGCAGGCCAGGCGACTCAACACCCCGGCGTGTCTCCTATAAGGTGAACATGTGGGGGGGATTAATGTGGGAACCACATTCTCTGATTTGGTGGATTTTAGCTCCAGATACTGACATACAGGCTGCAACTTCTAATCTGATTCATCAATGTATTTCAAATTATTGCAGTCTGCAATAACAGTGAAAATTACAAACAGTAAATCGCCCCTCAATGGAGATGCGCAATTTACATCAGCATATTGACTATCACAATATTTTTTCCATTCATCGGTTTGAATCAGTCCAAAATGCCATTATTCAGAACTTCAGAGCATTGCCTGACATCTTTATGAACACAGCTTATCTTAGACCATATCAGTCCACTATTGTTTAATCTGCACAGAGAAATTAGACTAACACAAAAATTAAACTCTACTAAGGCAGACCATTTTTTTGCCAGAGAATTTTTGGTACTTTTCTTCAAGATCCACAAAGATAATAGCAATCCAAGATGAAAAATACCAACAGATTCATTTTATTTGGCCCAACCATTATCTATATCAGCCACAAGTTTCCAAATTTTTAGTGATCATCAAAAGAAAATACACAAAATGAATCAGTCTGAATTATAGTCAGTCTAAGAGAGAGATGTACCTTTAAAAATTCAAAGTATTGTCTAAAGTGCTGTGTTTGAACTGTGATAAGTGCAAAAAGGTGAAACTTCAGGCATGTCTTTTGTCTCCAACAAACAAAACTGATCAAACCATCAAGACCCAAGTGAATAAATCCGGGTACAAACTACAAAACTGTGTTAACTTTTCACATTATTCCAAATGGAGCAGTGTTTCAGTGGAGGAAATTTTAAAACAGACTACATCAGAAATAAAAGAAGCTAAAAAGGAAAAAGACAAACAATAGACAGTCTAAACATCCAAACTTTGTTTCCTTCATAAAGACTTAAACATCTCACGCAGCAACTAAATGCCAAAGACAACCTGGCCTGAGCCAGCTAGCTTCTCGAAGTTTTAAAATATCCTATAGCAGCCTGTTCGGCTCATGGACTTACCATTAGATGTTGGTACATGTGTGGCCACAGCCAGCAGAGCGGCCATCAGTGCCAGCAGTTTGACATCCATGGTGGAGGTCTCTCTCTTTCTCTTTCTCTCACTGTCTGTGTCTCTGCTACAATCCAGGGCACGACTGAGACCGCCAGCTTCACTCTGGACTGTGTTAAATCCTCAGATGGGAGAGAGAGTGAGGGAGAGCGAGTGAGGAAAGGGAGGGAGTCCCACTTTCTCAGGAGGGAGGAGGGAAGCAGGGGGGGTCCCAGCATGAGAGGAAAGGAGGTGAGAGGAGGAGAGGGAGGGAAGGAAGGGTAAGGAGGGAGCAGCAGCGAGGCAGGAGAGACTTCCTCAATTGTAAATATGTTGGCTGGGACTCAAGGAGAAAGTCTGTGGGGAATTCTGTCTCCCTCTCTCTCTTTTTACTCAATTCTTTCCATTTTTATTTCTTCTTTTCCCCACATTCTCTCCTTTTCTATTTTATCTTCTTCATCATATCTTTTCTATCCCTCTTTCCTCTTTTCCAGTATTCTCTTTGCTTGGTCTTTTCACCTGCCACACACATACACAGAGAGGGAGACAGAGAGAGCTCCCTGCTGTCGGACTAATATTATTGTATATTTCGTTTAAGTGTTATTGTTTACAGAGACTCTCCCTCTCTCTCTTTGACTCTGTCATCTGGCTCAGCTCCCTTCTCTCCGCCTGGTTCATGTCTTCATCGGGCTTCTTCTGGACTTCACGTCAGTTTCACTATCTGTGATGAAACTATAAAAAGACTGTTTAGACTTTAAATGAGACAGGCAGACCTGCAGGGAAAGAAAATTATAATTGTTGATTATATACATGACGCCATTATGGATGTCCTCAGTGACTTTTGGATTTTAATCTTTTATAATGAGAGTGTGCATGTAGGTATGTTAATTTCCAGTAACCCATGTACTCTACAACACACAGGTATTATGCTTGACTCCCTGTTTGTTGTTCCTTTTCAGTCACTTCAACACTGTAGTCATGTCAACTCTATCTTTGTTCGTGTGGACAAAATTAGGACATTGTAGACAATTTAAGGAGTGTTATCTCAAGAAAACTGTCAGAAAAAGGTCTACAAATAAAATAAATCAAATTTATGTAACAAATCTTTGTATAATTCTTTGAAGATGTAATATCCAAGTATGTCAAATAGAAAATAAATCAGTACAAGAACCACTGATAAATAGACAAGCTCTGCAATATCAGACTCTTTTCAATGGTTCTGTTTTCTGATATTCCAGAGTTTTTATGATAAAATGATAAAATTTTATGACGGAATATCCCTTTAAAAATTACTATCATGAGCAGTAAAATACATCCCTACAATACAATACAACACAACAAAACACGATACAATATGATAAGATAAGATACGACGATATATGATATAATGTTATATGACACTACGACACAGTACAGTGTGGTAGGTTAGGAAGAGGAAGATACCTTACAAGACTATACAATATGATACCATAAGATACCATCTTATATGCTACTGCATGATATGCTGTGATTTTGAATGATATGATACAGAAAAAAACGAACAAACAAAAAAAAAACAACAACAACAAAATGTTATAGTTTGATGTAATGCAATTGGATGCAATATGATACAATGAGATATGATTGGATACTACACAATGTGATAATATGATCAAATATGGTACCAAACAGATCACCACAGTATAGGATACAGATTGAGATCTCACACTTCTTTACATGGACTTCTTATTTCCTGCTCTACCAAAACCTGACCAATGAGGAAAAATCTAGATATGAGACATGGTTTTAACTTAATTGAACAAACTCAATATCTGGTATGGGGAGTAAAACTACATACAGTTTCTTTAGTGTGACACTAGTTAAACTGACTTTGCTGTGCTGACATGGATCTAATTGGCATCTGTAGCTAAGGTAGTAAAATGAGAGTGGGCGTAGTAACACGGTTTGAGAAAACAAAAGCTTCCAGATGCAGATTTAAGCTCTCACATGTCTCCGTGGCTCTTATTTTTCTCACTGATGATCTTAAGGAGGACTTCCAAATTGTCTAGAAAAAATATTGTGAAGCGGCGAGCACCAAAGAAACAGGACACAGATGTGTTTGTTTATGTTGCCTTGCTGTTAGTGTAGTGTGTGCATGTCTATACATGTCTTTACATGTGTGTTTATGTGACTGCAAACATGCATACCATTATGCATTGATGCATTGACTCCTGCAGCTGCTGAACTGAAACTTGGTCTTCATGCCAGAACTTGACGCCTTTACTGATGGAGCTGTTGGAAGTTATTTAAACCCCCCCACCCCCACCCTCATCTACAGCCCCCATCCTCAGTCAGCAACAGCACTGGCAGTAATAAAACCATATGCTGCTAAAGACCCCTTGTCAGTCAGTTCACTGAAACTCCTCCCTGTGGTTCAGCTGTGCCATGTCTGTGTGCTGAGAGAGAACTCGCAGGTCTGAGGTCTGCAGTGAGCTGTAAACCTGTGAGGGTGTTTACTATCAGCCAGAGAGTCATTCACTATAACTGCTCTAACAGTGAGAAGAGGAAACCGAGCTGCAAGAGACAAACAGCACATCATCTAGACAGAGTCTCCTTTTTTTAAAAGGTTATTGGGCAAATTTAAAAGTTGTCTTTTATAACTTGTATTTGTTATAAACATACATGTTTATTTTGCGTCAAAGTTTGAGCCTCTGAAATTTTTGCAGGTATCCTATAATATTAAAGGTAAATTGATTTTTCTGTTATTGGTGCCTACAGAATTTCAATACCAGTGTTGTTATTTTTCCTCAAAAATCCACTGACCATACTGTGAAATACCTTTTTTTCAACTTCTATGAAATAGCAGCAATAAAAAATTGCAAACATGTTGCGTGTGTCATTAAAGTAAAACTGTTTTGACAATGCTTGTGTATCTTTTATTCAGGTTTTTCAAGAGGCACTGATCTCTAGATTTTGTGTGTTTTACGTCCATCTGTGCCGTCCTCTCCAGAGCTGATATCGCCCGCTCTAGTCAATGCTCTAGTGTTCACAAGATGTGCTGTGATTTTCTTCCTACCCTGCATCTTACATGCATCAAACTAGGCAAAACTGCTCCCTACAGGAGAAGCATGGAAAATTTACCCAACTTCTTATCAATACACCCTAAACAAACTCAATGTCAAATCACTTAGATCAAAAACAATTATGAATATATTTCACTAACAAAACCTTGATCCACACAGAGTCCCTGCAACAGGACTTTTAACCATCAACTTGGGCCAAGCACAGTTTGAGAAAATGCTTCCATGGGGCTGTGGTGAAAACCTCAGTGCAGAGATGAGGTGGATAAAATGAAAGCTCCATGCAGCCCAAATAAGTGGTTACAATTGTTTGAAAAAAATTACCTCCATACTTAAAAAAAATCTGTTTGTAAATGTGCGATAGATTACATGTGTTTTCTTTTGTAATGAACAATAACCTCTGACAGAAATCTTCAAACCTGAACGAAGGTAATCCAAACTATTTTTAATAAAAAGGTTAGAGATAAACCAAGCCTTTTTAGTTATTATTTGGGTTTCAGATTATGAGGAATTTAAGGGACCACATCACCAGTTTTTCAAAGAAGGCCTGGGAAACAGATGTGGGTTTATACGGTCTGATTTGATTGAACAGAGCACCTTAGAGTGAAGCTCAACCTCTCGTTGTGCTCTGCACCTTCAACATGTGACAGTGTTTGGATTTCCTCCATGAATGTCGTGTTCCTGTGATGGGGAGCTTGGCAGTGTAAAATAAATCTGTATTAAGTTTCATTCAAACGATAACATTTACAAGTAAGCCCAGAAAAAACCCCAGACTCCCAAAACCACCTCCCAAAACCTTGTCAATCCTTTCATCAGCGCTTAGAGCTGTGTTTACCGAGACGCAAAAACAAATGTCACAAGTGCTTTGGCATCTGCACCGCTAACACACCACAGGAGCACGGCTGCCACGCACGCCACAGGGAATGTGTATGGCACGTTCACTGCTGAGCTGTGGGACGACACTGCCACTTTTATCACAGGTGGTGTCAAAGGTCAGTGTTTCATGTCCCTGTATAGGGTTTCAGGCAATTAGGGTTGCCAGGTCTTTGTTGTGGACCAGTCCTGATAGACAAGCCTGCATAAATGGTCCCCATGATGAGGGATGTGATGTGGAGCAGACGAATGTTTGGTCTACATCCCACCCAAAAATGCAAGATCTTCTTAAAAGGACTAATCGCACAAATAAAATATACTAGAAGCAGTAAACGTTTCATTTCCACTGTTAATGTGAAACAGAGCTTTGATCACAGCTGGATGAACGAGGATGTGGTTGAAAGGGAACTAAAGAGGTTTTAATGGGAAGAGAAATGAGTTTGATTTCTTCCCCTGTTGGAAAATCACCTGTTTGCTGTGTGCTGGAAATCTGCTCTTAATTAAATGTTATTGGAATAAGCCAAATACTACACCAAGACACAGCAGAAAGAAAGTTAGACAGTCTTTAGAATAAAATTAAAAGTAATATAAACACACATGATTGCCATATGAGCACAAAATACACAGTCCGCCCACTTCAATGATCATCTTTCAGCAGCAGGTGTGTCATAGCACTTAAACGGACCACAAACACACATTACTGAAGTATTTAATACCCCCTCATGTTAAAATGAACCCAAACAAACACAGACTAATCTTTTCAGTAATCTCCCAAAGTGTCGGCAGATCTCTGCTCCTTCCTGTTGAGATCTCTGCATGGAGGTCGCTCTGTGATCCACAGTTTATTGTGTTTGTCCAGCAGTTTGAGTCTGGAGCTGAGTTTTATTTTATGGTGGCAGTGCAGATGAAAGGTTTCCCTCCACTGGGCTTAGATAAACAGCAGTTCACCATCACAGCCGGGGGCACATTAGAGGCGAAAAATGTGACGTGTAAACACACATTAATCAACAAGTGGGAAAATTCCCAAGGACATCAAATGTATCAGGGACGAAATGAGTTGAGCAAAAAACGCATCTGCTGCATTAATATCTTGCGCCTGCTGTGAAACAGCAGAGCAGATTTGTAGAATGTAAAAGTTTTACAGTCAAAAAAGTGGATTTAGATTTTATCTTGGGTGAACGAAACTGATTTTTACTGGAGACCTAGAGTTTGTGTGTGTCTTTGTGTGATTATGGTACTGATTTGAAGCTGAGCTCTGTAAACAGGATAAACAGGAGGGTTTGAAGGTGTGTGTGAGTGTGTGTGTGTGTGTGTGTGTGTGTGTATGTGTGTGTGTGTGTGTGTGGGTGTTAGAGAGGGGGATGGGTGTGAGATGTGTGAGTGTGTGTGATGTGTTTTTTGGGGGTCCCTGTTATCAGTTCACACTTTTTCCCTGAGCCTTAGCAGCTGGTTTCACCACACACACACACACACACACACACACACACACACACACACACACACACACACACACACACACACACACACACACACACACTCAGTAGCCTCTAGTGGGGGATTGATTTAGCAAGATTGGGTTTCCTGCCGTGTAGAGAAAATGTTTTCATTAAAAGACTTAAATCCATTAATCAGCTATGATCAATGACTTTCTACAGACCATTTCACACAGGAAATGCACCTCTGAAAAATCCCTGGCTCTACCCTGTGTGGCTCGATTTGGAAATTTGCAGATGGCCAACATTTTGAAACTGAGGTCTCTTTCACACCTGACCAAGCGGACTCTGTTCGACTGGAGAGCTCAAAGTCGCAACATTGTTGCATTTATCGCTTGTTTCGGTTCTGCTTTCACACTGTGATTTGTAAAGCGCTCGTTGATTGGACAAAGTAGGAGGGGTATGTAACCGCACGGATTATAATGAGGGGTGGACTAGCCGTCTTGTATCCTGCTTCGTCACATGATTTTATGGAATGCTACAACGTTAGTGAGCGCAATCGTTCCTATAATGCTATCGTAGCTTGTCAGGGATTGATCCTGTTATTTTTCTAACTTTGACGATCAAACATGTGACAACTTATGATCTCAGAGTTTAAGGACTGTGACTGTTGGTAGCTGTGATTTGATTTTGTTTCAATACGCCAAATTGTGAATTTATGGGTTATTGTTGTTCAGACAGCTGAGCTAAGCTAGCTAGCAACTGCTAATGTCAGCGGTCATGTGTTGCCATAGCAACAAGTGATGCCGTGCTTCCTCTACCCAAGATGCACTGCATATGCACTGCGTATAGTGTCATTATGTACATTTGGTCCTGTATTTGGTCCGGTGAGCTTTCACACTGCATACGAACCGAACCAGGGTTCACTTGCATCACTTGCCACGTTTTCAGGTGGACCAGAGTTCGCTTGTTTGGTCTGCTTCAGAGTTTCACACCTCCCCATATGAAGCGGACTATCCGAGGAAACGAACTCTGGTCTGTTTAAAGTGGACCAAACAGCTTTGGTGTGAAAGTGACCTGAGAGAAAAGCACCCCATGCAGACATATATGTGTAAAAATAGAAAAAGGAAAGTTTACCCACTCAAGAAAGTTTTGCAATGCCTCCTGTCCTGTGAATATAAAACCATGTCATTGTTCTTCTTTAACTGATCTACACTGCTGCTTTTTTAATCTCTTGTTTACTCTAGAGAAGAGGCATCTTCGTAAGCCTTTTAGGACTTTCAAAATCCTCTGCATAATATTTAAGCCTTTACTGCTCTTTGTTTGGTTTGTTATTATGATGTGCAAATAAACTATAGCAAACAGAAATAAACCTTTTTTGAATTAGGGCCTGAAACTCTCTGGGGAGTGTGTGAAAAGGGCTCATTAATATCCACAAAGCTCTAATGTGGAGCTTATTGAAGACTGGAAGGTGCTCAAGTGAGTTTTCATTATGGAAACAAAGAAAGTAGAAATTTGGATTGAAAAAATGGGTAAAAAAAAAAGTAGATGCTCTGTTGCTATCTGTCAGTTTAAAGACTGCACTGTTGATACTCAACTTAAGCCTTTTATTGTGGCCAGTCTAAGGCACAACTGTGCAATAATCATGCTGTCTAATCAGCATCTTGATATGCCACACCTGTGAGGTGGATGGATTAGCTCAGAAAAAGAGAAGTGTTCACTAATACAGATTTAGGCAAATTTGTCAACAATATCTGAGAGAGATAGGTCTTTTGTGTACATAGAAAAAGTCTGAGATCTTTGAGTTCAGCTCATGAAAAATAGGAGCAAAAACAAGTGTTACGTTCATATTTTTGTTCAGTGTAAGTATCCTGATCCTGTGGACATGTAACAACATAAAAACATTGGCCTTCCAGACGAACAGTATAGCTTTGTTTCAGCTTCAGTAGAGCAGGGTGGAGGGAAGTGGGAAATAGAGAGACCTGCAGGCTTTTCTGATTTAAAAGATGATATTTGGTGCAGTAGAAGAAACAGTGAATGCTCCAGCAGCTTGTAAATCTTTTGGTTTTCCCTGTGCAAAGAAAAGAAATAGGAGAGAATGTGATAGACAAAGAAAAAATGGTATACAGACACTGCCAGACTGCTGTGTCCTTGGTGTTCGGGAATATGAGAAGCCACTTGACAAATTATCACCTTGAAAACGTTCAAGAAGATGAGAGGAAAATACCCTTAAGGAAGCATTTACAGCCTCACTGCTTTATAACTGTACAAGAGTAGAAGAGGATCATAAGATGTATTGCTGAATATATAGACAAAGATGAACAGACAATTACTGTGGTCAACCATGAAGGATTCAGAAGGTTAGTAAACATGCTGGAGCCAAAGTAAAAAACCCCCATCTCAGCCATACTTGACTCAAACAAGCAGGGTGTATTTTACTGACCATCTGTTTTCCAGGTCTTTACTTTTTTTTGTGAATAGATTTGTTATTGTGATATTATTGTATAATAAGATTTTTATATGCCTGGCATCTGTATGTATGTGGAAGGTAGGGGATAAATGAACATGTAACATAAGTGCACACCACTCAATACTTAGCAATCCAAATAGGGTTGAGGCAGGGCTGGGTGATATGGGAAACAGTTTATCACAATATATATTTTTCACATCTGTCAATATCGATATATGTCACAATATAATAGAATCCATGGTCAATCTTACATGTTCCCTGTTACTCTTGGGCATAACTGGACACGATTTGCAGTGCACATTACTCTACTTCATGTCCGATGTCAAAAAACCCCAAATACCTCCATACCACCGACGTTTTCGTGCCAGTGTTGTCGATGATGTCATCATCAGTTGACCATTCATCTACATTTCTACTGGGGGTAGCACGCATTTTCTTTTTTTCTGCTACTACGCAGTTGTTTGCTACTTGGTTCTGATTCAGCACATGGTTGGTTTAGCGTGAAGTAGACCCGGAGCAACTCCCCTTTTCATTGGCTATTCATATAGTTTACCAAAACATGGCAGAATGCCGACTATTGAAAAGCATATTGACCATATTTAATATTGATATCAAGGGAAATTAATTTCCGATATATATCATTATTGTTTTATCCACCAGTCCTAGGTTGAGGTCATTCTTTTTAATCCTCAAGACCTCCACATTGAGTACTGATTAAGATCACCATCTACCTTAGCACGAAAAACCGATGGGTCATCATATCATAATTATTTATTATAATAATCATAATGAGTTAAACAACACTAACTTAATGCAATAAAACAAGTCCTAATAAATTGAACAATTGGACAAGGCACTAGCATGAGAAGCATGCTGCAGGTTCAGACTTTTCAAGAACTGAAATGAATAAAACACAAATACAAGCACAACACTGTAGCACTCAGAAGGCGTCTAGACCAAACAATGATTGAGGACATGAGGTCTTGGCTGAACAAATCCTGGAGAGTGCTTCCTTTCTAATCTGGCTCTTGACCATTTTAATCCTGCGTTCTCCATTCACACGTACAGCACATACAGTCAGAAAGCTGTGGATATCGTCAGAGAGTGGCGGTAAAGGCATTTCCATGTGAATGAGCGTCTGGCCTTTAGGTAGAGACGTCCTGAATGTGTTTGAAGTTTTCAGCTCTCCTTGGCTGTCAGTTACAGGAGAAAGGCCTCTCAGTGACTAATCCAGTTTACTTTGTGCCTGTCTGTGGAGGAGAGAATCTGGCATGACACCAAACGCCACTCAATGGATGCTTTTCCAAACAAAGGCAGCAAAAATGGCTCCTCGTTTCCTGCTTGACAAGTGCATTGAATCCTCCTCGTCTTTCATATATTTGTGGAGAGCATGGTTTGAATCTGACCCTGTTGCCATGGTTGCAGCTCCTGTATGGGGCTGGACATGTGTTTACTGTATGCATTATGGTATGCAGAGAAAAAAGAGGGCGGGCTGGAGAGCTGGTGCCACATTCAAGTGTGTGAGACTTTGTGTGTTTTTTAAGCTGGGCAGTTGTCTGCTGCTCGTCTTAGGGAAATACTGAGAATAGGAGGCTGTATGGAGGGATGGCCATCAACAACTCAAACCCTAATTGGACGGGACGTTTCATGGACGCAAAGTAGCCGCTGGCTTGTGGTCGGACCACATTTGTGTGTTTCTGCTAACAGGGATTCTGCCTTTTGTAGAGCTGAGTGAATGTAAGTGCCAGGGGCAAAACTGTCCTTGAATATGGAGGCAACAAATGCCCTGGATGATTCTGGAATTCAGAGATTATACATCGTCATAATGAAGGTTAGCATCATGTACAATAAAGGTCATCTGTTGTGGGAGCACATAGTTGAGGACAAACGTTTCTGCTCAGGGAAGTAAACAGAGCTAGATTGAAGAAACATGGGCTGGCACTATGAGAAATACTCATCCCAGATGACTGCATCAACAAAAAGAAAAGTAAATAAGATTAAATAAAAATAAAACTATCAACAAAGTAAAACATTCAGTGAGAGCAGTCAATGTGAAACAGCTTTAGTTTCCAAGAAGGCAAAGAAACCTAATAGAAAAATGTTTGCAATAAAAATGGAATAATTACTTGCTGTTTTGCAAAGCATGAGCATTTTTTCAGAACTGCATAACATTTCCTGAAACTGTATGCAACTGCATGAGGATGACCTGGCCTGCTTACTTTTGTGCTTTTTGGGTGTTCTCATTTTATGCCACTGACCGCTTGTGCAGACTTCATCTGGATGTGACAGTTTTCATGACATCAGCACTGTGATTCTCGGGGAAAAAGGCAGGCTAATGGCACCCCTTGCTCTACCCTCCTCCTTTAATAGTCCCACGGCGATGCAGAATTGAGGGGTCAGTAACAAATTGACAAGTCTTATTTTGTTGAGGTTCCCTGAAGCCAAGATGACTTGGAGGGAAAGAGGAGATAAATTGAAAACACCAGAGTTACATGGCAGAGTTTTAAAGAACATGCTTCTCTGTTGAGCGTTTCAGCTTTGGCAAATTACAGTCGATTTGGCTCAAACACATCTTGCAGTTAAGGCCTTGGTAGTTACAATTCTGCAAACAGCAGCATTTTGTTAGGTTGGCTCTTTGTTGAAGCTGGAGTTTGTTCTGCTCTGAGGCGATTCACTCTGCAAAACCTGCACAGTCAAATGAGAAAGGATGCCGTCTTTGTAATGTAAATTTCTTATGGGCTCTGAAGGCTTAATGGGCTGTATGTCTGGCACATCAGGAACAAATCTGTTGGCTTTGGCACACGCACATAACTTTATTTAAACGCCTCACAGAGACACAGCAAACAGTAATGTTGTGGTTTCTCAGTTTCTCAATGTAAACTTAGAAACAAGCTGTGGATCGAAGCCAGGCCTGGAGCAAAGGAAGGATTGGATCCTCAGAGTGTTGGGATAGAGCAGAGGTCATGACCCCAGCAGATTGAACAGCCAGTATCAGCGGGAGTCCTCCGCACAGCTCCCAGTCTGGCCAAAACTCATAGTCTGGAAGGTGGGACGCAGACAGCACTTTCTCTTCAAACTACAACAGTTGACGGAGTGTTTGGGCTTCCATAGCCAACATAATCCTGCACCAGACAGAGAAAGCCTGTTTCTGGATAGGTGTTTGCAGCCCGATTGTCCTGCCAAAAGAACTTGAAGGTTTACGCTGCTTTGGTGTGTTGGGTGATTTGAATCAGGGGCTAATGACTGTCGCCATGGTTAAATATTAACAAAAGCCAACACTTCAATGTTGTTCAAGCTGAGGTTACTCATCTGTGTGTCTAATTTTAACTACACTACACGAAACTCATTCTCGTTTCAATAAATGCTGAGAAGCAACACTTAGCTGTGAATAGCACGTACCAGAATGAATGTGGGGCAAACTGGACCATTAATTCCTGCTGCACTTTAAACTAAGAGGAAACTTGTGAATGGAAATCTTCAACAACAAAAGACCTACAGTCAGTGTTGGGGGAGTTTCTTACTGAATGTTTCCAATTGTTCAACAAATATCTTGTAAATAGGCATTTAACATGATTTGTTTGGACTCATCAATTGTGAATCCCATTCAATTGATGATTTGCTACTTAAAAAAGTCTGAATTGGCTTTTCACAACTCTAGACCCAAGGATCAAGCTGGTAGACTGAAGTAATGGTGCATTTTCACCAGGGTATAATGTACAATTATGTGCACTGCCATTGTTAGAAGTTAAGAAAGGTACCCAAATAAACATCCCCACTCCGTTCCTGTAGAGTAGCATATCAATCTGACTCAAACTACAATGACTGTTATCCTTGGTGAAAACAGACCATATAAGGGCATTTACACAGAGGCTTCATATTAATATAATATATTAATGACTTATATATTAAGTCATTCTGTCTCTCAAACCTCTTTCCCTGCTTTTACTGGGTGGCAGTGTGATGCTAATTTCTGACCACCAACAGTTAGCTCAGCTAGCTTAGACTGCTCAAAGCCTTCAGTCTTAAAGGACTAAGTCGAATAGTCCCAAGTAGTGGCTTAACACTGGTGTTGGCAACAGGACACTTTTATTAGGACATGTTTCTCCTGGTTGTAAGCCAGCTGCCCTCTGGTTCATAGAGCCCTTAACGGAAGGCTAGCATGTCCTGACAAGTTATCGTGCTGTATGCATCTAGAGTAAAAGGTTTTCAACAATCACATTATATTCAAAGTAAGACAGAAAACAGGCTCTTCAAATGTGATGTACTTCAGAACCAGAATTACTTAATCAATTGCCATGCTTTTCTTGAATTTCTTGAGTTTAGGTTGGTTTAAGGCCCCTTTACTGTCAGTGGATTCAATAATTTGGGGATCATTTTTGGGGATTTGGCCCTAGTGACCAACTGCTACAGGGTCGTAGGACTTGCATGTGAGACTCATCTCTAGAGTAATGCTAATAACTTGGATTTGTACATAGATGTAAAGATGTTGATGCCATCTCTGGGAAGTTTGAATGCTGAAGGGAAAATGTTTGTATTATAAAATACTTGATGTGAACACATCTATGTCAAACATCTCAGTATAAATCTCACATAAATGTCAATCTGAAAGACTGCAGAGATGATTAGATGAGACAGTTCAGACATTTTGAATGGTCTCATCTTACTGCTCTATGTTACATGACAAGCCTTCACTTTTAAGGTTCCTTCAATTTGGTCATTTTACTTGTCTTCACTCTCACCCCTCATCTCTCTGAAGGGTTTTTTTCCCCACACACTACTTTGCCTCTTCTAATGTTACCAGTCATTTATTCTGTCCGTCCATAGTCCACAGCAGGCTTGTTTTCAGAGCATTAAAGCCGGTTTTCCCTGTCAGCAGGGAAAACCCTACAGACAGTTGATAGGATCTACCGAAGGGAACTCTGCAGCCGTCCTGCCAGTGTGTTCTGCTGAGAGAAAGGCAGCCAGACTGATTATCTACACATAAACATACAGAAGCAGGAGTCCTTAGACTACGCACCCACTCACTAACTGGTTTACATATGCAGTCCATCCACACCTCCTGTGCTTTTGGCTTGAATACAGCTATAAAGACTTATATTTAGAGCTGTCAATTGTCAATACACTCAAAGTTGGTACATACTGAGAAATGTTAGTGTAAAGGCATATAGGCTTTATTAAAGAGGTGGAGGAAACAACATTATGTGCATGAGCTGACATTTATTCATATGTTAGTTAAAATTACAAATTTGCATTCACATGGATTTTGGCATTGGTGTAATTTTGATTTTGGTTAAGAGTTACTGTCACTAAAAAGCTGGACTGGTCTCTCTACTTTAGCTAAAAAGCATGGAAAAAAAGGTAACCATTGGTCCATGTGCATGTTGCACTCAATTATGGGCTGGTGACCCTATCTGGGGAGGCTGCTTTGATAAGAATAACTGTGTGCCTGTGATAAATCAAACTTCCCTATCTTTACTATTATTATTATTTTTTAATTAAATGCACATTTGATATTAACAAAGTCAAATAAAAAGTGTTGGAAAACAGTATTTAAGGAATGAGACTTATATTTATTTCATAAGGTGGCCAAAAAAAACTTCAGGTTTTCTCGGGGGAGCTTTGAAAAACAATGAAGATAGCTCTTTATTTACTCCTTTTACAGATAACTAAATCACATAACAATCATTGAAATGAAAAAATAAAATGTGACAATGCAGCACATCATGGTTTATTTATGTTGCTTTCAATGCCACAAAGAAATCATTCTGGTCGGTCCTAGAAGCCACAGTTGTTTAATGCAGATAGAATGAATATACTGAACAAACAATAATCGGGGGATGATGAGGTATGGCATACTTTTTTTCTGTTTTTTGAATTGTGGCTTAAAGGGGTTAACCTGTATTGCTGCTTTTAAATTGGACCCCTTGCATGCCATACCTTTGCATGTCCTCTGCATATTCATTACAGTTTTCTTTTGGCAATTTATAAGAGTATCTAAGATACACTCCCAATGGTGCACACTGTGATGCTCAAACCCTTTCCTGGGCTTTATTTGATGCTCATGTGTCTCATTTTGCAGGGTAGTAGTGTCAGAGTAAAACGAAGGCCACAGCAATGCTGGTCTGGCTTCAAAAGGGCACAAAGAGGACACAAATGAAAACAGATCTGGATGATGATTCAGGTTTGCATTCATATACCTATTATGTGATTTCCTCTCAGAGTTTTTCACCAGATTTAGGAACATAATTCTTAAGAATTACCGACACTGACCACATTATACACATGCCACACAAAGCTTTAAGTGGAAAAAAAGAAGTACCATCAATTTTTTTTTTTTTTTCCAATGAAAGTTTTGTGTGGACTCAAACTGGGAATAAAAAGATCACTGGATGTACTTAGATTTCCACATGTGTTAAGTTCTCGAGATATGAAGTTGTAGCTCAATTTATCAATCAATTTCGGACTTAATTCTGTTAGAATATACAGTCTAAAGCCAGCAGTGCTTTTCATGGGATGATCTTTTCCTTGACAGTCTCTTTTATGACACACTGCTTTAAGATTACAGACAATATCATTATTACAATGACCCATCATAATTCAGCAAATGTTTTGAATGGGGACTGTGTATATTTAGACTGCGGAGGCATGAAAGAGTAATCTGACAACATTGGTTCCATCAGAGCTCAGAGGTCCTGAATCTCCAAACAAATCTTCTGTTATAAAGCCCACAAGAGTTTATCAAAATCCTCTTTGGTGTAAACACCCACCCTTTTAATCCTTCAGTAAATCAAATTATCTAATGCAATACTGCTAAAGAGCTGAAAACGGGCTACTCAGCTTTTAACTCAAGACCCATAAACTGCTATTATGAGTCTCCTCCTCTTAGTTTTGCCGATTTATGACCCGTGTGTGAAAACATGACAGGACTTTCTCTCTCTCCTCCTTATCCTCCTTTTAGGGGCTAACAAGAAGAGAATTTAACCCGCCCAATGAAGTCTCTGAAAGATGGTTCCCAGATGGAAATGAGTCATAAATCCTGACACTAAATGAGACGTGACAGATCAAAGTCCTTATATCACCTTCCTCTAAAACAGTGGCACCGGTTGGTCATTGGTTTCTCCTCAATCCTTCAGTTGAACTAAATGAATTCTCCTTACACAAAAGAATATAATACAAGGGGCACAGCAGGGATTGGTTTTGCAGATGTGGATATAGTACGCTAAACCCCCAAACTCACATCCATAGGAGCTTCATAACAGCATTAAAGCTCAAAAGCAAAAGCAGCGGGAGGAACAACCTACTACATCAAATCGATTCATCCTGCAGAAAGGAGTCGGGCTTGTTTCACCTCTGCCTGTTGACACTGTGGCAAAACCGTTAGTTTCTCTAACAGACTGGTCAGGGTGAAACGAGATCTGCTTAAGTTCTACCTATCCTCCTGAGATTGTAACTTGCATCATCACCTGTCCACCATACATCTCCCCTTTAATATTTGTCTGCCTGCTAACACTGCATTTAGAATTTCCCCAACTATATACGTGTGTAAGCCTCTAGCCATTGTTGAAGTTTAAACCCTGGGGTCTAATCTATGTCTATGTCCCAGAAAAAATCTGTGTATCCTCAAAGATACTTTATATCCCACACTAAAAGAGATTGTAACCTGTGAAGATCCATACATGACTTTCAGCAAAACACAACTATTTTTGTGGTTAGCTGACAATGCTGAACAAAACTGCCATCTTTGTTTGGGGGATCTCGACCAAAGGATAAGGCTGGTGGTAATTGTACTGTTTGTTGAAAAATGTCTTAAAAATTTATAATGTTTCAGTTTAATATGACTTCTTTAAAAGTCATGTATGCTCTTACTGTTTAATTTTAAATTTCATGGTGTAAAAATAGCCGTTTCTAATAAAATTGCTTGTAAAAAAAAAAAAAACAATCATGCAAAAGATAAGAGGGGGATAAATACTACTGATAGCATGCAGCATGAGTAAGCAACTAAGTTATGAACATAATGGAGCATTTAGCTACTGGAGTATTTTCTTGTTGGGTAGATGTAATGTCATTATGAGACTTGAATCATCACCTGACCACAAATAAAAATGACTGATAAAGTTGCAACTTCTGAATGAGTAAACTGTTAAATAAAAAGGCCCATCTACTGGCTGTATCATTACTGTCTACATACAATAGGAACACAACTTTTAAGCCTGTGATTATTTGCTCTCAGGAGTGAGGTCTCTGACGTGCTCTTATATAAGATGGAGTTTTTTTTAAGGTTTAAATAATCAACAAATAGTATTGCTTAACCAGTTAGGTTTTTTTTGCAAAGTTACATTAAAAGCATTGCTGATATTAATGCTGCATGTGGGTCTTGACTCAGTTTGTGAAGAGACTTTGAAATAGATTTAGAATAAACAAATGCTCATCTCTATATTCTTTGCTTTGGTTGACCTGGTGCAAAAGGTTAAAGAGAGTGTATTAGGTGAAGCATGGTAAAAGCTTTATCTCTGGGTATGGTGAATTGGTTTTCTATTGAGCCATGAGACAAAGAGAAAAAAAAACCTTAAGTGTTTTACAGCTCAGCCACCCATACTGATCTCTTCTTTCAAAATCAATGAGAGCAGAAGCCAGAATTACTTCTGGGACATGAGCAGACGTTTAAACTTCGGAGTGCTTACATCGATTGGATGCTCAATCCTCGAGTGTATGAAAAATGATGGATGGATGTGTGGTTATGAGCAGACAGGGCTCACACAGAGACCCACAAGGACACTGAGCACACCCACAAATGCACACACATAAATTCCATCCCCTCACCTCTTTGGGCACCTAACACTCGTCTTAAAAGATGCCGATGGACTGGTGGTGGTGTAAGGTCTCACTGTGTTGTGTTTGAAGTGTGTGTGGGGGTTGTCCTGCTGGGTCATTGTCCACTTACACACAAACACACATAAATGCACACACACTCTCTCTCTGACCTTCGGTGCCAGGCCCGGGGCCGAAGACCTCGCTGAATAGAAGAACAGATGGTTGAGAGGTAGCTTCAATGGAAACTGAGAAGGAGAAGAAAAACAGTGCAGGGAAGAAAAGAAAAGATCATGAGGACAGCCAGAAAAAAGGAGCCTGAATAGACAAGCAGGTGTGTGTCTTTGAAGGTATTTGGTGTGTGCGTGTGTGTTTTGTAAAATGTAGTGTAATAGCAAGTAAAAAAAGAGAGCCTTTCATTGTAATTACACGCTCAACAATGAACTTTGATATGACTCACCAAAGTATGAGATAATGAGTAGTGAACAGGTGGTTCAGGAAGTTGTGACCAGTCAGATTCATTAATATTTTCACAGTCATACTGGTAAATAAGAAAAAAAATGAGATGTCTACTTCGTGAAGTCCCGGGTGTTCTGTGGCCTTCTGAAATTTGATTGCACAATAAATGATGCTGCAGTTGAAATATGACTGCACAGATTTCCAAGTGTGTAAGCATTGAATGTGTTTGTTTTAAAATTGTGTTTGTACCTCCCAAAGCACTCAAGTCATCAGTGTTAGTATCTACCAGTCAATCTGTGTCTATTTATCCATGGACCTGCCCTGGGAGCTTCGTAAGTGA